ATATTTTGTGTAATATTTGGGAAATGGTATGTAGTAAATTAAAATGAAATAGAGCAACGCAACAGCAAAGTAAAGTAAAGCAAATCAGCAGAGTAATGAATGAAGCATTTAAGAGAAAATCACAGTATATTTGTAGGCAAATATCTTCCATAAGGTATGCAAAACTATTCGTGTAATGACATACAAATACATTTTTTTTACCTAGGTAGTTTAACAACTTAGTTTATGGATGTGTATGTAAGACAGTAAACAGAAGACAAACGAAAAACTTAATACAAATGTTACCTACATGGTCCTTAACGCACACACTCAAATATCTTAAATGAAATTCGATTTAGGGACAGAAAATTATTTCATTGAATATGTGACCAGCTCTTTGTGGAATATTTATGTCGATCAATGCACTATGGGCCAGAGGATGATTTATTAAAAACAATTTTTTTATCATGTTAAAGAATGAGTAGGGTACTTTCGTAGTTCTCATTTAACCAACTAAATTCACTTCAATTCCTTATAATCTCTAAAATACCAATAAAAAACTTTCAAGCTCGAGGCCATATTATACATATGTTTGTTAATGAACTTTTCCTTTCTGTTTTCTTTCGTTTTCCACATTCCTACCTTTATTTATATCTTTCAACAAATCTTTCAAATTTTCATATTTGTTTGAAAATATTTATTAAATTTCATATATGCTGCACTAAATATTTTCCCCCTTTCATAATAATAATGATTTATGTGTCTTTATTTAATGGCGTCAATTGTTTTCAAATATATTAAAGTGAAAAATTTTCAATATTTATTTCAGAATAGGTGATTTGTTGTTGAAAGTTAAATACCAGTAGTGTCATAATAGAGAAGACAAATGTTTTTTATATATTTTGTTTTGAAATATATTCTTTTGTTTCTATTTATTTTTAGTTAAAAAAATTGTTTGAATTTTTATGTTGTTAAGTGTTGTTTTTAGTTTAGTAAAAAAATTAAGATTTTAAATATTTTATTATAGTTTTTTTTAAAGCACAAAATGTCATCGACCAGTTGTCAGATTTATTTGATAGTTTGAAAGTCGTTGTGTGGCGGGATGTTTAAAAGGGCGATAACTTTTGTTAGATCTGAAAAATAAACATTTGATAAGAACAGATAAGTTATTGAAACAGATCTAGAATTCAACTAGATCTAAGAACTGAACTACTGAACTAGAACTGAACTAGAACTGAACTAGAACTGAACTAGAACTGAACTAGAACTGAACTAGAACTGAACTAGAACTGAACTAGAACTGAACTAGAACTGAACTAGAACTGAACTAGAACTGAACTAGAACTGAACTAGAACTGAACTAGAACTGAACTAGAACTGAACTAGAACTGAACTAGAACTGAACTAGAACTGAACTAGAACTGAACTAGAACTGAACTAGAACTGAACTAGAACTGAACTAGAACTGAACTAGAACTGAACTAGAACTGAACTAGAACTGAACTAGAACTGAACTAGAACTGAACTAGAACTGAACTAGAACTGAACTAGAACTGAACTAGAACTGAACTAGAACTGAACTAGAACTGAACCAGAACTGAACTAGAACTGAACTAGAACTGAACTAGAACTGAACTAGAACTGAACTAGAACTGAACTAGAACTGAACTACAACTGAACTAGAACTGAACTAGAACTGAACTAGAACTGAACTAGAACCGAATTAGAATACAACTAGAATGAACTAGAACAGAACCAGAACAGAACTAGAACAGAAGTAGATCAGAACTAGAACAGAACTAGTACAGAACTAGAACAGAACTAGAACAGAACTAGAACAGAACTAGAACAGAACTAGAACAGAACTAGAACAGAACTAGAACAGAACTAGAACAGAACTAGAACAGAACTAGAACAGAACTAGAACAGAACTAGAACAGAACTAGAACTGAACTAGAACAGAACTAGAACAGAACTAGAACAGAACTAGAACAGAACTAGAACAGAACTAGAACAGAACTAGAACAGAACTAGAACAGAACTAGAACAGAACTAGAACAGAACTAGAACAGAACTAGAACAGAACTAGAACAGAACTAGAACAGAACTAGAATAGAACTAGAACAGAGCTAGAACAGAGCTAAAACAGAACTAGAACAGAACTAGAACAGAACTAGAACAGAACTAGAACAGAACTAGAACAGAACTAGAACAGAACTAGAACAAACTAGAACAGAACTAGAACAGAACTAGAACAGAACTAGAACAGAACTAGAACAGAACTAGAACAGAACTAGAACAGAACTAGAACAGAACTAGAACAGAACTAGAACAGAACTAGAACAGAACTAGAACAGAATAGAACAGAAAACTAGAACAGAACTAGAACAGAACTAGAACAGAACTAGAACTAGAACTAAACTAGAACTGAACAGAACAGAACTGAACAGAACTAGAAAACTGAACTAGAACTGAACTAGAAAACTGAACTAGAACTGAACTAGAACTGAACTAGAACTGAACTAGAACTGAACTAGAACTGAATTAGAAAACTGAACTAGAACTGAACTAGAACTGAACTAGAACTGAACTAGAACTGAACTAGAACTGAACTAGAACTGAACTAGAACTGAACTAGAACTGAACTAGAACTGAACTAGAACTGAACTAGAACTGAACTAGAACTGAACTAGAACTGAACTAGAACTGAACTAGAACTGAACTAGAACTGAACTAGAACTGAACTAGAACTGAACTAGAACTGAACTAGAACTGAACTAGAACTGAACTAGAACTGAACTAGAACTGAACTAGAACTGAACTAGAACTGAACTAGAACTGAACTAGAACTGAACTAGAACTGACTACTAGAACTGAACTAGAACTGAACTAGAACTGAACTAGAACTGAACTAGAACTGAACTAGAACTGAACTAGAACTGAACTAGAACTGAACTAGAACTGAACTAGAACTGAACTAGAACTGAACTAGAACTGAACTAGAACTGAACTAGAACTAAACTAGAACTAAACTAGAACTGAACTAGAACTGAACTAGAACTGAACTATAACTGAACTAGAACTGAATTAGAACTGAACTAGAGCTGAACTAGAACTAGAACTGAACTAGATCTAGAACTGGACTAGAACTGAATTAGAACTGAATTATAACTGAGGTAGAACTGAACTAGAACTGAACTGGAACTAAACTAGATCTTAACTAGAACTGAACTTGAATTGAACAAGAACAGAACTGGAACTGATTTAAAATTGAATTAAAACTGAACTATATATTTAATTTTTTTAATAAATTTATAAAAATCTTTTGTTAAAGATTCCCTAACAATAAAATAACAATTTAATTAGCGAAATTATAGTATCGATTATTAGGTATTATTTATAAATAACAATTATAAAAACATTTTCATAATTGAGTATTGTTTAGGCAGTATTCATTTTAAATTTACTGCAAATAATTTTCAAACGCCAACAACAATTAAAATGTTAAGAATTTATTGATAAAAATAATACATATTTGTTTTTATTGATAAAATATAGCATGAAATATTTAATTGCTTTTAATCAACCTAATTGAAGTATTGTTTATTTTTGAATAATTATTCTGCAGAATTTCAAAACTACATATTGTTTTATAGAACTTAGTTAAGGCATTTAAACGTATTAAATTTTTCCTTTTGTAACCTTTTGAATCAGTTTGAGAGGGAAAAAAACATAAAACCATAAAATGATTAATAAATCCCCCTCAAGCTTAAAGCCTCAGTAGACATTTAACACCAATTTAAAGAGGAAACAACAAGAAAAACAATTATTTTCAACAAAACATTAACAACGCACATAGAGCTACAGGTGTGAAATTCAATGTTTTCCTACCGATGTACACCTTCAACAGTTAAAGGTATAATATTTTGTCTGAAAACACACAATTTACTGGCGTTAAGATTTTAATAAATGTGATTTAAAGGCAAAATATACTGTTTATACTTTCTTAAGGGAAATGGTGTAAAGAGTTAAAATAATGTAAGAGAAAAAGACTACTATTTAACACAAGTTCGTATTATACGTTTAAAATATTAAACCGCAACGATAACACATACACACAAGCACATACTACTGATTGAAAATCCTATTACACTTGCTGTTTAAACAGGAATTTAAAATAATGAATTCCTTAAATGTGTCACGAAAATAAGTGGACCTGTTAGTTTTGGCCACAATTTCTCTCCAATTGAATCTTAACAGTAAAGAAATGTATCTGAACCTTGTATCAACAAGTTTCTCGTATAAAAATTGCTATTAGTGCTTGAGTGTCTAAACTAAATGTTATAAAAATAAGTGGACCAGTTATTTTATGTCTCAATTGTACTATTATTGAATAATACTAAAGTAAAAATCTCTTGATATTGATATTCTCTCCAACATTTAATAACAAATTTTTTCCATAAAAGTTTCTCTCTGCGCTTAAGTGTCTAAAACGAGTTTTTCACATTACAGTTTCTCTTCGTGCTTGGATGACAAATCGGTGATTTTTTTGGCTAATTTTCTTTATGATTAAGTTATCCTTTTAAACTACTACCTTTCACTTGTTTATGCACAATGGAGCTGAAAAGTCATTTATTAAACTTTTAAGATTTCTCTAGCTTTTTGTTGCAAGGCATAAAGGAGAAGGAGAAGAATGAGGAGGAGAGAAGAGTAATATAAACTGGCTTGATTGTAATAAAACCACACAAATCCTAGAAGTGGAAATTTCAATTAAAGCTTTTAAATTTAACATGTGTGTGTGTGTGCGCTAGAAGCATAACGCTGTAGCAGTGAAAATAACTTAAATCAAAGTTACTAAAATAAATATTAAATAGAGATTAAATCTCATACACTAAAATAAAATTCATTAAAAATTTTCTCTCATTACTTAGAAAATATTTGAAATATTTTGTTTATCTAAAATATATTGTTAACACTTTTTCATTCTCCTCTTCTCTTCTCTCTCTCTCTCCTTCGTTTTTTTCAGAACCCAGAAAAGACAAGACTGATGCACAACACGGTGGTAATGGCACACTATCACCCAATACCGAACAGCCACCCTGTCAGGGTTCAATGTTGCCACCACCCGGTGGCGGTAATGTTATTGTTGGCTCCCAACAAAATCACTCACACATGGTTAGTGGTCGTGATCAACATGATTCCCATACACAAAATTCCAAAATGGAACGACCCAATACATTGGGCACCAATAAATTAGCAAGACGTGTTAATGTCTGCTATGAACATTGTAAGTAGATTACTTTTTTTGTAATAAATAAATATTGAACAGAACTAGAACAGAACTAGAACTAGAACAGAACTAGAACAGAACTAGAACAGAACTAGAACAGAACTAGAACAGAACTAGAACAGAACTAGAACAGAACTAGAACAGAACTAGAACAGAACTAGAACAGAACTAGAACAGAACTAGAATAGAACTAGAACAGAGCTAGAACAGAGCTAAAACAGAACTAGAACAGAACTAGAACAGAACTAGAACTGAGCTAGAACAGAACTAGAACAGAACTGGAACAGAACTAGAACAGAACTAGAACAGAACAAGAACAGAACTAGAACAGAACCAGAACAGAACTAGAACAGAACTAGAGCAGAACTAGAACAGAGCTAGAACAGAACTAGAACAGAACTAGAACAGAACTAGAACAGAACTAGAACAGAACTAGAACAGAACTAGAACAGAACTAGAACAGAACTAGAACAGAACTAGAACAGAACTAGAACAGAACTAGAACAGAACTAGAACAGAACTAGAACAGAACTAGAACAGAACTAGAACAGAACTAGAACAGAACTAGAACAGAACTAGAACAGAACTAGAACAGAACTAGAACAGAACTAGAACAGAACTAGAACAGAACTAGAACAGAACTAGAACAGAACTAGAACAGAACTAGAACAGAACTAGAACAGAACTAGAACAGAACTAGAACAGAACTAGAACAGAACTAGAACAGAACTAGAACAGAACTAGAACAGAACTAGAATAGAACTAGAACAGAGCTAGAACAGAGCTAGAACAGAACTAGAACAGAGCTAGAACAGAACTAGAACAGAACTAGAACAGAACTAGAACAGAACTAGAACAGAACTAGAACAGAACTAGAACAGAACTAGAACAGAACTAGAACAGAACTAGAACAGAACTAGAACAGAACTAGAACAGAACTAGAACAGAACTAGAACAGAACTAGAACAGAACTAGAACAGAACTAGAACTAGAGAACTAGAACAGAACTAGAACAGAACTAGAACAGAACTAGAACAGAACTAGAACAGAACTAGAACAGAACTAGAACAGAACTAGAACAGAACTAGAACAGAACTAGAACAGAACTAGAACAGAACTAGAACAGAACTAGAACAGAACTAGAACAGAACTAGAACAGAACTAGAACAGAACTAGAACAGAACTAGGACAGAACTAGAACAGAACTAGAACAGAACTAGAACAGAACTAGAACTAGAACAGAACTAAAACAGAACTGGAACAGAACTAGAACAGAACTAAAACAGAACTAGAACAGAACTAGAACAGAACTAGAACAGAACTAGAACAGAACTAGAACAGAACTAGAACAGAACTAGAACAGAACTAGAACAGAACTAGAACAGAACTAGAACAGAACTAGAACAGAACTAGAACAGAACTAGAACAGAACTAGAACAGAACTAGAACAGAACTAGAACAGAACTATAACTAGGAACTAGAACTGAACTAGAGGTGAAATAGAACTGAACTATATCTGAACTAGAACAGAACCAGAGCTGAAATAGAACTGAACTAGATCTGAACTAGAACAGAACTAGAACAGAACTAGAACAGAACTAGAACAGAACTAGAACAGAACTAGAACAGAACTAGAACAGAACTAGAACAGAACTAGAACAGAACTAGGACAGAACTAGAACAGAACTAGAACAGAACTAGAACTAGAACAGAACTAAAACAGAACTGGAACAGAACTAGAACAGAACTAAAACAGAACTAGAACAGAACTAGAACAGAACTAGAACAGAACTAGAACAGAACTAGAACAGAACTAGAACAGAACTAGAACAGAACTAGAACAGAACTAGAACAGAACTATAACTAGGAACTAGAACTGAACTAGAGGTGAAATAGAACTGAACTATATCTGAACTAGAACAGAACCAGAGCTGAAATAGAACTGAACTAGATCTGAACTAGAACAGAACTGGAACTGAACAAGAACTGAACTAAACAGAACTAGAACAGAACTAGAACAGAACTAGAACAGAACTAGAACAGAACTAGAACAGAACTAGAACAGAACTAGAACAGAACTAGAACAGAAACGAGAACAGAACGGAACGAGAACGGAAAGAGAACGGAACCAGAACGGCAGGGAACAACGGAAACAAACGAGAACGAAACGAAGGGGGCGAAGAGGGGCGAGCGAGGAGGGAGGGAGCGAGCGAGCGAGCGAGAGCGAGCGGCGAGCGAGCGAGCGAGCGAGCGAGCGAGCGAGCGAGAGAGCGAGCGAGCGAGCGAGCGAGCAGCAAGCGAGCAAGAGCGAGCGAGCGAGGCAGCGAGCGAGCGAGCGAGGAGCGAGCGAGCGAGGCGAGCGAGCGAGCGAGCGAGCGAGCGAGCGAGCGAGCGAGCGAGCGAGCGAGCGAGCGAGCGAGCGAGCGAGCGAGCGAGCGAGCGAGCGAGCGAGCGAGCGAGCAAGCGAGCGAGCGAGCGAGCGAGCGAGCGAGAGAGCGAGAGCGAGCGAGCGAGCGAGCGAGCGAGCGAGCGAGCGAGCGAGCGAGCGAGCGAGCGAGCGAGCGAGAGAGCGAGAGAGCGAGAGAGCGAGAGAGCGAGAGAGCGAGAGAGCGAGAGAGCCGAGCGAGCGAGCGAGAGAGCGAGCGAGCGAGCGAGCGAGCGAGAGCGAGGCGAGCGAGCGAGCGAGCGAGCGAGCGAGCGAGCGAGAGCGAGGGGCGACCGACGGACCGATCGAGCGAGCGAGCGAGCGAGCGAGCGAGCGAGCGAGCGAGCGAGCGAGAGAGAGAGAGAGCGAGCGAGCGAGCGAGCGAGAGAGCGAGCGAGCGAGCGAGCGATCGAGCGAGCGAGCGAGCGAGCGAGCGAGCGAGCGAGCGATCGAGCGAGCTAGCGAGCTAGCAGAGCGAGCTATCTATCTATTATATATCTATCTACTATCCTATCTATCTATCTATCTATCTATCTATCTATCTATCTATCTATCTATCTATCTATCTATCTATATATCTATCTATCTATTGTCCGCCTGTCTGCAGGATTACATCTGTGCATATAAAAAAAGTTTGCAGGAAAAATTGCTACAAAAATTTTCCTATTAGAGCAAATTCGAACCTCAATTACTACGATCTTACGATTCGAAAAAGCTAAAATATATTTCCAATAAAACTTAAAATCCCTTTAATTTCCATTTTACACATTTCTTTTACATAAAATAAAACCTGCCATAAAAATCACAAAAATATAAAAAAGAAAGTTTTGAAAAAGTATATAAATCAATATTGCAGTTCATTTCCGATTTCCGTGACTACTATTGGTAAAAAAAGAACTCACATACACACTCACTCATTTACAATATTTATAGTGAGTGTATGTATGTTTGTTTTATCTTAAACTTGACACATAAATTTTAAAATCTGTCATAAAAAGTATTAAAAACAATTTTTTCACTTGTGAGTTTTCACTTTGCACGCGCCATACCAGTAGTAGTACATAGTAGCAGTGGCAGCAGCAATATCATGGTTTGGTTATGCCCTGTAATAATTCCTTTGGTGAGAAATATTTCAACACTTGCTCAGGCAACCACGAACCGTAAAGGAGAAAACTTCTTTTTTAGCGGTATTTTAAGAGCTTGTCACATATACTTACAAACAGATAAAATATATGTATACCAATACCAACAATATGTACAAATGTGAACTACATGAGTTCAAAATTATGTAGTGAAAATTGTGAAAGTTATTTATGAAAAATGTTGTTTTTTCTTGCATTAAGCCGCAGATAAGAAAAATGTGTATTTAATTTTTTTATTTTTTCTCTTTTTTTCCAGATCCCGATGGTTCTTCTAATGCCATGATGGGTGGTCCACCCGGTAGTACTCCACCCCCTTATGCTGATGCTTCGGGCGGTGGTGGTGGCGGTCATCATCACCATCATCATGATGGTCGTGGTAAAATGGTTGGTGGTGTTATGCTTTCAGAATTGCCAGAACCCCCAATACCCGTTTCGGAAATTGGTCCCATCCCACCGCCTCCTATGTTTTCGACACCATCGCCAACTTTAGTGGCTGGAAGACCGCATGGGCCGGGCGCCATTAACGATAAGGATTATCAGCCATACGATGATTATGGTAAGTTTTGTAGAATATTGTAAAGAAAGTCGATTAAAGGTTAAAAAGATCAATATTCGACTTAACATGTGCTCTCCAGTTTAAATTATTATCAACTCTCAGAATCTTCTGAAGGGTCTCCAATTTAAGATGTAATTAAGTTCTTAATGAACTTCGTCATTCAATGATGACTTTTGTAACACAAGCTCTTTCTAAACTTCAAAAGAGTTGCCATCTAGTATCCGATAAATTTTGCAAAACCATTCCGAAACTCCATCATTATGACTCGTACGTGTTTTTGAGCAAATTATCCGTTATCTAATCAGTCCCATTATATTTTAGTTATCCGTTATATATATGTAATCGAGAAACAATAAGATTTAATTATAACTTTTGTACCACGGTCTCACTCTTAACTTCAGATGACTTTTGTAGAGGGTTCTATAATTTTTCATTATTCATCAGTTCCCTTAAAAGATCATTAACATCAGAACATGTCCGAAACTAGTTTATAAGCCCACTATAGAAGACCAAAGAATATTCTTTAAGTCACGAACCATTCTTAGGGATTCAACGACTCTCATGACCATCTTGTTGCGTATTCTGAAATTATCCGAATGAAGACATTGGTTCCCTTAAAATATAATTAGCATCTCGTCCACCAACACTAACTTTCTTAAGCATCCTGACCTTGATGTTATTACAATACTGAGGTATAGAGATTTTACCAGTTTTTCGGGTCTCTCGAGACCTTAAACTGCCAGAGATCATTTGGCTCGTGGTCTGGCCATTGCACCTTTTCAATATGGTGCCACGTAAGCCAGTTACCCGTTACTTATTCTGGCCATTGGTTGTGATCTGGGAAGAAAATGTTGGTTTAAGGGCCTTGAAATTCATATTTCAGAATAAGTTTCTAGTGAAGTAGTTCAAGGACAATAACACCACCAGAGTGGGGTAACTGTGTGTTTATATGGAAAGGAATAAGTAGATATTACAAAGACAAAGTAACGCGCTTGTTGTTGTGGCAGCGAGACTTGTAAAGTCGATGAGCTAACAATCCTTGATCAGTGTCCGTTAGAATCCAAGTAGTTCCGATGCAAAGAACCACATGACCGCCTCTGATGCATGCGGGTAAAAGTCTTGGATGCATGTCGATGTATACTGGCTGGTGGAGAGTATAATGAGTGTTGAATGCCTTGCAATGGGAATGGGCAAAGTCCAGTGTCCGACATTTATAAAAATTGCCAATGTTCAATCTTTCTCAAAGAAGCGGCTGTGAGACGTATTGCAAAGACTTGGTACGTGCTTGTTGTTGTAGCAACGATCCGTGTAAAGTCGTTATTGCTGAGTTAACACTACTTGGTCGTTGTTCGTTGAACTGCAAGTCGTTCCTGTGCGAAGAATCGATTGTAGTGTGAACCTGCTAGTATTGGATGTTGGTGGATGTTCGGGATTTATGATGATGGATGTGTATATACATGGTCCGATATTTATAAATTTTACTACCTTGGTATGTTTACTAGACTTGGTACGTGCTTGTTGTTGTAGCAATGATCCGTGTAAAGTCGTTATTGCTGAGTTAATACTACTTGGTCGTTGTTCGTTGAACTGCAAGTCGTTCGTGTGCGAAGAATCGATTGTAGTGTTAACCTGCTTGTGTTGGATGTTGGTGGATGTTCAGGATTTATGATGATGGATGTGTTTGTACGTGGTCCAGGGTCCGATATTTATAAAATTTACTACCTGGTGGTTCTTTAAGTGTCATAAAGAGAGTCGAGTTTAGCTCATCCTATGGTTGAAAAAGATCTCCATAGTTAGACACTCTGGTCATTTTTTATCCAAATAAGGATAGAAGTTTTGTTCAGAGGGGGGTACTCTTTAACTCGATTCAATACATTTTCAAATTTGTATGGTAAATGCATTTCATTTCGAAGGCGTTTTCTTTCGCATCGAAATACGGGGTAATACGATTAAACCCTAATTGATTCACTAAATATCAGCTAGAAATTTGCCATAACTTTTTGAAAATAAACCACTTTATTTCAGACATTAGTTTCCTTACTATTTCAATAAATCCTATTACAGCCAAAGTCCACTTTAAGAATCTTTAATTTATTTCGATAAACTATTCAATCTAGTTTATTAACATTTTCAAAATATTACGCCTTCCCTTATACACTTCTCCTTCTTTTATTAGTTTGTGTACTTGACATCAATTAATTAAACGTCTTCCTAAAAGTCTGCTTCAATTATTCATCTTTATTAATAGCAGAATGTATACTATAGTAGTCATATACGTAGTATATACGCTTTATTGCATATTTCATGAATTTGCTGCTTTTACAAATGATTGCCTTGTACCAACCCCTTGGCAGCCATACTCTTCAATAACTCCCTCTCAATTACATGAATCAATATAAGAAATTGTAAAGGATTTTTTTTCCTTGGCTCTCGTAATTCTCTTTTCCAGCTATTAGCCGCAATATGGATGTTTTTTTTTACCATCATCATTATTCCTTGCTGCAGTACTTAAAGCTGAAGAAGATTTTCTGTTCATATTCATATTTATTATTACGATGCTAGAAGCTGTTAATAAACATGATTTGTTAAGTGGCAGTTGATGCCACTAACGTGGGAGCTCCAATGGAGCAAAAAAAATGATTTAATATAATGGAAAATAAAATGAGCAGTAGGGCAAAAATCCACTTAAAGATGTTGAAAGTTGAAAATGTAAATAGAAGCAGGAGGACGGAATAAAAAAAAATGTAAAGCATACTTTTAGTATGCAGGCAAAAAAATTACGTGAAAAGGAATGTTCTACCAAAAAAAATCTAAGAAAATTTTAGCATACATTAGACTTTGAATATGATTTTATAATTAAATTTTCTTTAAGGAAGTTGTTTAAGTATGAAAAAAGTAAAGCATACTTTTAAGGTTAAAAAAATTAACTTAAAGTGTTGCCTATTTTCAGGAATAAAAAAATTATGGCAATTTTTTTAAATTTCAAAAAATGTCTTACTTTCTCCTGACACAGATAACGATAACGAAGATGATAACGGTTCGGACAATGACTACAACTATCAAACGTATTCCAATCATATCGATACACAACGCATAGAGGAAATTCCAGCCAAAGAGCCTAAATTAAATGCAGTTCCTCTTAAGTCGGCCCTTAAAAAGAAACCGGGACAGAATTCATCATCGCCCGCCACACCCATACAAGATCACAGCAATGCCAATGGTACACTGCCTCAAGGCATGGGTATGGGCAATAATAGCAGCAGCAATAACAGCAGTGGCGGTGGTGGTGGTGGCTCATCAACACAACAACGTCCCTTGGTAGTCAGACAGGATGCTACCAATAGTTATAATCTAAAGTAAGTACCAGTTTATTTCCAATTTAAATTATTTTTTTTTTTTTGTTATCTTTCCCACGTTTTAGATAATTTTTTGTTTTCTTTTGTTTCTTTTTGAATGTTTTTCTATATATCAAACGAATAATTTCTTTAAAAAGCAACTAGAGTAGTTGATAATTTTTTTAATTTTATATTTACAACAAAAAAAAAATTTTAAACAAATTTTTATATATATATATATATATATTGTAACTCTAACTATTTTTCTTTCTTCTCAATTCCCTCCATTTTGTTCTCTTATTTCTTTTTTTTCTCCCTGAATTGTTTATCCCGGTTGTTTTTTTTTTAACACAAAAATTTGTTTAAATTTTTAAAATTTATTTTTGTGCTCCTTTTTTAACTCCTCTTTTCCTCAACCCAAACTTTCTTTTTAACCACAATTAGGCCCATACTACGACCACGGATTAGAATATGGTAATAATTTAGAATATTTTATTTTTATGTCAAAAAAACACCAAAAAATATAATTATAACACTTACAGAAATGCCTTTAAAATTATTTAGAATCTATGTGTTTTTTGTTTTTTCTTTTGCAATTTTGATTTTTGGTTTTTAATTTAATTAAGTCCTTTTTTCAAATAAGTGTATAAATTTGAAGAAAAACGATTTGCTACATACAAAACACTGTACTGTGACTTTGCTAAATGTGTCTTAGCTAACACACATTCTTTACTGTGGAATATAATACAGACCGGCTACATCTTAGTCCTAGAATATGCTCTCAACTACAGACTAGAGTATACTATAGACTACACCGCAAAATTCACTAATGTTTGAAATTTGAACTACAAAATAGTATGCACTACAGATTCGACTATTTTCCAAAATTTTAACTAAACTATATTCTATACTATAGACTCGACCATAGTCTGGACTAGACTATAATCTATTGTCTACACTCTAGCATGGAATATAGAATAGACTATAGTCTGCACTGTAGTCTGGGCTATAGAATAGACTATAGTTTGGACTATAGAACAGGTTATAGTCTGGACTATAGAATAGACTATAGTCTGGACTATAGAATAGACTATAGTCTGGACTATAGATTAGACTATAGTCTGGACTATACAATAGACTATAGTCTGGACTATACAATAGACTATAGTCTGGACTATACAATAGACTATAGTCTGGACTATACAATAGACTATAGTCTGGACTATAGATTAGACTATAGTCTGGACTATAGAATAGACAATAATCTGGACTATAGAATATATTATAGTCTGGACTATACAATAGACTATAGTCTGGACTATACAATAGACTATAGTCTGGACTATACAATAGACTATAGTCTGGACTAATCAATAGACTATAGTCTGGACTATACAATAGACTATAGTCTGGACTATACAATATACTACAGTCTGGACTATAGAATAGACTATAGTCTGGACTATAGAATAGCCTATAGCCTGGGCACTATAGACTAGACTACAGTCTGAACTATAGACTGGACTATAGTCTGAACTATAGACTCGACTATAGGTTGTACTAGTCTGTAGTCCAGACTATAAAAAGATTTATAGACTAGTTTGTAGTGCAGGCCATATTCTATTCTATAGTCCAGTCCATAGTCTATTCTACAGTCCAGACCATAGGATATTCTGTAGTGCAGACTATAGTCCATTCTATAGTCTATATTATAGTCCATTCTATAGTCTATTATATAGTCCAAACTAGTCTATCATCCAAACTATAGTCAAGACTATAGTCCAGACTATAGTCTGCAAACTATAGTCTGTAAACCAGGCTATAGTTTATTCAAGACTATAGCCTATTCAGTCTATTCTATACTAAAGCCTATTCCTTAGTCTATATTATATAACTTTTACTATAGCCTGAACTATATACTAGACTATAGTCTGAACTGTAGACTAGATTATAGTTTGGAATATAGACTAGAGTATAGTCTGGACTATAGACTAGACCAACGGTTCCCAAATGGGGGTCCGCGGACCCCTAGTGGTCCGTAGTAAAATCCTAGGGGGTCCGCGAAGACGAACGAAAAAAACCATGAATAAACAATATTCTGCTTTTATATGTATGTACAAATATCTCCAATTTTTGAGCAATAATCCCAAATTTTTTGGTGACTTTTTGAATTTTATTTTTTCGGTTGTTTATCAGGAAGAAGCTAGGCCCTACAAATTTATTGTATAACTTTTATAAAGTAAAGTATTGCGTGATTTGTAATTTTTATTTCCTGTATATGTACTGAAATAATGGTTTTTATTTCAGACAAATAATATTCTGTCTTACAATTAAATTAGGGATACTGGTATTTCGGAGTATGAAGTTCAATTCAAAGACAAGCTTATTACAGATTTAAGTCTATCAAATTGTAAGCAAAAGTGTTCTTGTTTGAAAGGACTAAAATTATATATTTCCAAAACAGAGGTGACTCTTTATGCATCTCTTTATAAATATTCCAATCCGACGTGATACACAGATTTTAACTTGATTTTGTCGACCAATACATATTATTAAATTAACATCAGAAAATACATAGCGTTTCGCGTAAATATGTAGCCAAAAACCATGAAGTAAAATAATTCGTTGGTATTTTAAAATTCAAATTTAAGTTCCAAATTCACAGTACTTTAACAAAGAGTTCAAATCATGCATTATGCGGATAACGCATTCCGCAACAACATAGAAGAAGTCCAACTTTCTTATATTACTTTCCCGAAAACTTAGCTCACTTACTCAGTTCACCCTTTGCAATCGCAACAAATTTTTGAAACGTGACTCCTTAAGCACATGTGATAATATTTGATAAAGAAACCTTTTCGCTACCTTGAAGAAAAATGAACATGAAAGATCTCACGATCAGAAAATTTAACATCATCATATCAACAAAGAAGTCATTCTATCTTCAAAACATGCAATTGAAGAAAACCTATCTGAAATGTTATATATTCTCAATGTACGGGAATATTTTATAGATATGACATCTCTACATTTATTAGACCTAGGGATTAATGAACTAGGTCAATTTTCGGATGGACAATTATTTAGAACAATAAGATATCAAAATATGTATGGGGGTCCGCGAAATTAAATAAGTTCTTCAAGGGGTCCGCGAAGTAAAAATCGGTGGGAACCGCTGGACTAGACTTTAGTCTGGACTATAGACTAGACTAGTCTGCACTATAGACTAGTCTATAGTCTGGACTGAAGACTAGACTACAGTCTGGATTATAGCCTAGACTATAGTCTGGACTATAGACTATACTATAGTCTGGACTAAAGTCTAGACTATAGTCTGGACTGTAGACTAGAGTATGGTCTGGACTGTAGACTACATTATAGTCTGGACTACAGACTAGACTATAGTCTGGACTATAGACTAGACTATAGTCTGGACTATAGACTAGACTATAGTCTGGACTATAGACTAGACTATAGCCTGGACTATAGACTAGACTATAGCCTGGATTATAGACTAGACTATAATCTGGACTAAAGACTAGACTATAGTCTGGACTAAAGACTAGACTATAGTCTGGACTAAAGACTAGACTATAGTCTGGAGTAAAGACTAGACTATAGTCTGGACTAAAGACTAGACTATAGTCTGGACTAAAGACTAGACTATAGTCTGGACTTAAGACTAGACAATAGTCTGAACTATATATTCTGAACTATAGACTAGACTATAGTTTGTACTAGTCTGTAGTCCAGACTATAAACTGAACTATAGACTAGTCTGTAGTCCAGGCCATATTCTATTCTATAGTACAGGCCATAGTCTATTCTACAGTCCAGAACATAGGCTATTCTGTAGTACAGACTATAGTCCATTCTATAGTCTATATTATAGTCCATTCCATAGTCTATTATATAGTCCAAACTAGTCTATTATCCAAACTATAGTCAAGTCTATAGTCCAGACTATAATCTGCAAACTATAGTCTGTAAACTTTTCAAGACTATAGCCTATTCAGTCTATTCTATACTATAGCCTATTATTCTTTAGTCTATATTATATAACTTTTTCACCAAGTTGCAAAAGTAAAATAAAAGATTATTGAAAAAAATATATATTCAAATAAGATTTTCTTTAAATTTAAACACTTATTTCTACTTCAATTTAAATTTTCTAAACTTTTCTCCTCAATACTACTACTACTCACTCAATTTTAAGTTCGTTTTACACCCACGAAAATGAATTATTGTTTGTCAAAAAATTCACAAAATTGGCGAAATTTATTTTATTAAATTTATAACCACAATTATGAACCACAAACTGCATGTTTTTTAATTTAATTTAAGTTCTTTCACTTATGTTGTTTTTTATATGAAATAAATATGGTAATTTTAATATTTTCATATTTTTCATTTGCATACACTTCTGCATACACACACACACACTCACACAGTCTCCTCTCATTTGTTTTAAAATAAATGCATGTGATTTCGGTCGTTTTTTTTTAGTTTCTGAAAAACAATGCGAAATTTGTTTTCAGTTTTAATTTCAGTTTTCATAGTAAATGATGTTTTGTGAACAAAAAAGAGTAAAACTTTTTTTCATATTTAACCCTATTGTTGTTTTTTTGTTTATAAAAACGCCAGTTATTTTAATTTCAAGAATAAAATTTATATTAATGTAAAACACATTCACTTATGCATAAACTTGTTTACACATCAGTACTTTTGAATTTAAAGCGTAAGAAAAATATATATAAATAAAATTACAGTTAAATACGACTTATGCGAGTTGTAGAACTCACATAAAGAATAATTTTTAAAATCTAAAAGTTTAGTGAAATGTTATTCTGTGAAATGTTATTCTATAGTTTTCGCTAGAAAAAACGTTGATATTTTCTTGTTCTTAAGCACTTGCAACATGTTGAATGAAAAGTCTTAGAAATCACTCTTTTTCATCTTTAGTTATATGTATGTTGCTGGTTTGCAATTCTTGCTAAATTTGTTTATGACGAAAATTGTATTAAAGGCCCACAATTTACTCAACATATATATAAAAGTGTTTCTTTTTAATATTTTTTCTTTTCAATTTTCCTTAAGAAAATAACACTTTGATGTCAAGATTTGTTTGCGTTTTGGTTTGAAATAAAAACAATATGTGGAATGTCTGTCCTAGTCGAATGTCTGGCATAAAAAGTTAAAAATATCATTGCACTTTTTACACGAAGTGAAATATGTATATTTGATGGATTATATATTATAATATAATGAATAGACTATAGCCTGAATCACAGTCTAGACTCTGATATACAACGACTGTACACTAGACTATAGTCGGGACAATAAACTAGACTATTGTCTGAACTATCGACTAGACATACAGCACAATAGGCTGGTCAACATATCATAGTCTAGACTGTAGACTAGGCAATAAACTAGACTATAGACTAGACTACAGACTAGACTATAGACTGGAT